GATATGTTTTAAAATGCAATTTAAAGCATTTTTGGTTTCGATCATAGTAGGCTATTTTCAAAAAAAATATCGATTTTATATCTATATTAGCATTCTTTATCATTTATAATACCTAGATATGTTTTAAAATGCAATTTAAAGCATTTTTGGTTTCGATCATAGTAGGCTATTTTCAAAAAAAATATCGATTTCATATCTATATTAGCATTTTTTTATTATTTATAATACCTAGATATGTTTTAGAATGCAATTTAAAGCATTTTTGGTTTCGATCATAGTAGGCTATTTTCAAAAAAAATATCGATTTTATATCTATATTAGCATTCTTTATCATTTATAATACCTAGATATGTTTTAAAATGCAATTTAAAGCATTTTTGGTTTCGATCATAGTAGGCTATTTTCAAAAAAAATATCGATTTTATATCTATATTAGCATTTTTTATCATTTATAATACCTAGATATGTTTTAAAATGCAATTTAAAGCATTTTTGGTTTCGATCATAGTAGGCTATTTTCAAAAAAAAATCGATTTTATATCTATATTAGCATTCTTTATCATTTATAATACCTAGATATGTTTTAAAATGCAATTTAAAGCATTTTTGGTTTTGATCATAGTAGGCTATTTTCAAAAAAAATATCGATTTTATATCTATATTAGCATTCTTTATCATTTATAATACCTAGATATGTTTTAAAATGCAATTTAAAGCATTACTGGTTCCAATCATAGTAGGCTATTTTCAAAAAAAATATCGATTTTATATCTATATTAGCATTCTTTATCATTTATAATACCTAGATATGTTTTAAAATGCAATTTAAAGCATTTTTGGTTTCGATCATAGTAGGCTATTTTCAAAAAAAATATCGATTTCATATCTATATTAGCATTTTTTATCATTTATAATACCTAGATATGTTTTAAAATGCAATTTAAAGCATTTTTGGTTTCGATCATAGTAGGCTATTTTCAAAAAAATATCGATTTTATATCTATATTAGCATTCTTTATCATTTATAATACCTAGATATGTTTTAAAATGCAATTTAAAGCATTTTTGGTTTCGATCATAGTAGGCTATTTTCAAAAAAATATCGATTTTATATCTCTATTAGCATTCTTTATCATTTATAATACATAGATATGTTTTAAAATGCAATTTAAAGCATTTTTGGTTTCGATCATAGTAGGCTATTTTCAAAAAAATATCGATTTTATATCTATATTAGCATTCTTTATCATTTATAATACCTAGATATGTTTTAAAATGCAATTTAAAGCATTTTTGGTTTCAATCATAGTAGGCTATTTTCAAAAAAAATATCGATTTTATATCTATATTAGCATTCTTTATCATTTATAATACCTAGATATGTTTTAAAATGCAATTTAAAGCATTTTTGGTTTCGATCAAAGTAGGCTTTTTTCAAAAAAAAAAATCGATTTTATATCTATATTAGCATTCTTTATCATTTATAATACATAGATATGTTTTAAAATGCAATTTAAAGCATTTTTGGTTTCGATCATAGTAGGCTATTTTCAAAAAAATATCGATTTTATATCTATATTAGCATTCTTTATCATTTATAATACCTAGATATGTTTTAAAATGCAATTTAAAGCATTTTTGGTTTCAATCATAGTAGGCTATTTTCAAAAAAAATATCGATTTTATATCTATATTAGCATTCTTTATCATTTATAATACCTAGATATGTTTTAAAATGCAATTTAAAGCATTTTTGGTTTCGATCATAGTAGGCTATTTTCAAAAAAAATATCGATTTCATATCTATATTAGCATTTTTTATTATTTATAATACCTAGATATGTTTTAAAATGCAATTTAAAGCATTTTTGGTTTCGATCATAGTAGGATATTTTCAAAAAAAAATATCGATTTTATATCTATATTAGCATTTTTTATTATTTATAATACCTAGATATGTTTTAAAATGCAATTTAAAGCATTTTTGGTTTCGATCATAGTAGGCTATTTTCAAAAAAAATATCGATTTCATATCTATATTAGCATTTTTTATTATTTATAATACCTAGATATGTTTTAAAATGCAATTGAATGCATTTTTGGTTTCGATCATAGTAGGCTATTTTAAAAAAAAATATCGATTTTATATCTATATTAGCATTCTTTATCATTTATAATACCTAGATATGTTTTAAAATGCAATTTAAAGCATTTTTGGTTTCGATCATAGTAGGCTATTTTCAAAAAAAATATCGATTTCATATCTATATTAGCATTTTTTATTATTTATAATACCTAGATATGTTTTAAAATGCAATTTAAAGCATTTTTGGTTTCGATCATAGTAGGATATTTTCAAAAAAAAATATCGATTTTATATCTATATTAGCATTTTTTATTATTTATAATACCTAGATATGTTTTAAAATGCAATTGAATGCATTTTTGGTTTCGATCATAGTAGGCTATTTTAAAAAAAATATCGATTTTATATCTATATTAGCATTCTTTATCATTTATAATACCTAGATATGTTTTAAAATGCAATTTAAAGCATTTTTGGTTTCGATCATAGTAGGCTATTTTCAAAAAAAATATCGATTTCATATCTATATTAGCATTTTTACTTATTTATAATACCTAGATTTGTTTTAAAATGCAATTTAAAGCATTTTTGGTTTTGATCATAGTAGGCTATTTTCAAAAAAAATATCGATTTTATATCTATATTAGCATTTTTTATTATTTATAATACCTAGATATGTTTTAAAATGCAATTGAATGCATTTTTGGTTTCGATCATAGTAGGCTATTTTAAAAAAAAATATCGATTTTATATCTATATTAGCATTCTTTATCATTTATAATACCTAGATATGTTTTAAAATGCAATTTAAAGCATTTTTGGTCTCGATCAAAGTAGGCTTTTTTCAAAAAAAAATCGATTTTATATCTATATTAGCATTCTTAATTATTTATAATACCAAGATATGTTTTAAAATGCAATTTAATGCATTTTTGGTTTTGATCATAGTAGGCTATTTTCAAAAAAAATTTCGATTTTATATCTATATTAGCATTCTTTATTATTTATAATACCTAGATATGTTTTAAAATGCAATTTAAAGCATTTTTGGTTTCGATCATAGGAGGCTATTTTCAAAAAAAAATATCGATTTTATATCTATATTAGCATTTTTTATTATTTATAATACCTAGATATGTTTTAAAATGCAATTGAATGCATTTTTGGTTTCGATCATAGTAGGCTATTTTAAAAAAAAATATCGATTTTATATCTATATTAGCATTCTTTATCATTTATAATACCTAGATATGTTTTAAAATGCAATTTAAAGCATTTTTGGTTTCGATCATAGTAGGCTATTTTCCAAAAAAAATATCGATTTTATATCTATATTAGCATTCTTAATTATTTATAATACCTAGATATGTTTTAAAATGCAATTTAAAGCATTTTTGGTTTCGATCATAGTAGGCTATTTTCCAAAAAAAATATCGATTTTATATCTATATTAGCATTCTTTATCATTTATAATACCTAGATATGTTTTAAAATGCAATTTAATGCATTTTTGGTTTTGATCATAGTAGGCTATTTTCAAAAAAAATATCGATTTTATATCTATATTAGCATTCTTTATCATTTATAATACCTAGATATGTTTTAAAATGCAATTTAATGCATTTTTGGTTTTGATCATAGTAGGCTATTTTCAAAAAAAATATCGATTTTATATCTATATTAGCATTCTTAATTATTTATAATACCTAGATATGTTTTAAAATGCAATTTAAAGCATTTTTGGTTTCGATCATAGTAGGTTATTTTCCAAAAAAAAAATCGATTTTATATCTATATTAGCATTCTTAATTATTTATAATACCTAGATATGTTTTAAAATGCAATTTAATGCATTTTTGGTTTTGATCATAGTAGGCTATTTTCAAAAAAAATATCGATTTTATATCTATATTAGCATTCTTTATCATTTATAATACCTAGATATGTTTTAAAATGCAATTTAAAGCATTTTTGGTTTCGATCATAGTAGGCTATTTTCCAAAAAAAATATCGATTTTATATCTATATTAGCATTCTTTATCATTTATAATACCTAGATATGTTTTAAAATGCAATTTAAAGCATTTTTGGTTTGGATCAAAGTAGGCTATTTGATTGACCCACTGCATCCCAAGCCACGTTCTGTTAAAATCATCAAAAAAAAAAATGTGTAATGTAAATCATATAGCTGTTCTAAGCCTGTAACTGTATCTGTGCCAAATTGTGTCTAATCACATCATATCAGCTATGGTTGCATCACTGGCAAAATAAAAATGCTAGAGATGATTGAAGAAGAATTATTTTAGGCTCCAATATATATATCCAGGTGCAACAGATCATAATTTTATTTTTACGTGTGCTACACAATAAAGGAAAGAAAATAATAAAAATTAAAGGAACAAGAGAGAAAGAGAGAGAAACATACAGAAGAGAAAAAAATTGGAGACAGCTGTTCGATTACAACAACAGCTCCGCTTTGCAATGGGTCTTGAAATAATAATAAATTTTGATCGTTAATGATACATCAAGCCCGTTGGTGATCTTCTTTCCTTCCTTTTTTTCGAGAGTCGCGTGGAATGCCTTTCATTATTGCTTCATAAATGGAACTCACTTACTGCTATAGAGGGTTGATGGCGCGCGTGAATCTTTATTAACATTTATTTTCGCGAGCAAATGAATGCCTTGCCATATTCCATGTTGAGACAGCTGGCTGTTCTGTTAACATTCTTTTTATTTTAATTTTTTGGATTCAAAGACAGCGACGACGACAACGACTTATCATGCTATTATATTTACTTACTTTCCTCTCCGAAAACATGCATTGAATAATAATTAATGCTTTTGCGATAAATATTCTGCTATTTAAATAATGGAACTTTGGCTGAATTAGCCTTATTAAGTAAACAATTCAGTCATGTCAATACTAAATTTTATTTTATTATTGTCATTCATTCAAGTCATTAGGTGTAAAAGCATAATTTCTGGGCTACAGAAATTTTTACCTCCACCAGCTAAATATGGAACTCCGACAATCATCGATAATGTCATGTGTAATTTAATGAGGGATTTCTATGTGTAGTGAAGTGGTTCTCAAACTTTGTGATAAGGTTTTTAAATTGGATTTCAATATGATCGAAGACAGAATTATGTTATATGCTGGTCAGTGATCAAAGCGCAATTATAAAAGGGGTTCAAACTTAATATTGGATTTACCCTTCGTATTTATTTTAAATCAAAATTATCATTACTTTGTCACTTGAAAAGTTTGAGAACCACCGCAAAATAATATTATTTTGTTTCTAATGGATATATTTTATGTTAAACAGCCACGATCAATGGCAATTATGAATGGGAAAAGAGTGGATTATTTGAAGGTGACATAGCACTTTATGATTCTGACAGAAATGCTTTAATAAGTCACTCATATCGGTGGCCTAATGCAACAATTCCATTCTATATCCAAGAAAATGATTTTAATGATGAAGAAGTGAAGACAATTTTGTTGGCTATAAAGGAATTCCATTCAAAAACGTGTCTTAGACTCAAGCCTTATGAGCTCTTGGACGAGAATTGGGTAATAATAACTGGAAATGATCAAGGATGCTATTCGTCAGTCGGTATGAGATCAGAAGGTGGTCAACAATTAAATTTACACACACCGGGATGTGTCAGGAAAGGTGTTGTTCAGCACGAGTTACTCCATGCTGCTGGATTTTACCATCAACAAAGTTCTTCGGATCGTGATGAATATGTCGAAATTTTGTGGGATAACATTGAGAATCGTCATGCTGGGAATTTTAAGAAATATAATTCGAGTATCGTTACTGATTATGGTATAGGATATGACTATGATTCAATCATGCATTACAGCTCAAAAGCTTTCTCAAGGAACGGTAACGCAACTATTGTCGCGAAGAAAAATGTCACTAGATTAGGTCAGCGCGATGGATTTACTGAAAAAGATATCTTAAAATTAAACAGCATGTATGAAGAGTCATGCCATAATGCCAAAACTTCTGTTGTAAATGACGATAGAAATGATTCAGAACTTGATGTTATTAATTGGTTCAAATCATTATTTCAACAATGATTTATTAAAAATTTACTTTTATATTTGAATTTTCATCGTGATCACATGTATGTATGATATAAGTAGCTAAAAATAAAAACGGAAAGGCTTGGCCTCAACAGAGCAAATATCAACACTAAGCTTAGCTTTCATTGTTTTTAATTTTCAATAGAACTTTGTCAAGTTTATCGATGAATCCATCAATTTCGCTCTTTGTAGTTCCAATGCTTGCGGCTGCAGTAATGTATGGAATGTTATTGTTTGAATTGTGAGATCCCCAATTAAGAAATTCGTAGCCATCAATAGTCTTTTTTTCATTTGGTGCTATTACACGAGCCCCACTTACGCAACGAGTAAACAGCATAGATCCGATCATTGTCAATTTTGAATCATCAAAACTTTCTAATGTCATCGCCAAGGAAATTGGATTCTTCTGTGATTGTAAAATTCTTTCATTATGCTTAGCGGCTACATCATTGAATTTCTCTTTCAAGTATTCAAACAAATTCTTTCTCTCTTTTACTAATTTTGTGTAGCCTTCTCGTCCCAAATGTAATAGTGTCATAAAAACATCCAATGTCTGTGATAACGAAGCTCTGCCGGCATAATTTTTTGCTACATCATTAATCACTTTTTCGTTAAAACCAAACACAATGCAGCCTCCAACAGGACATAAGAGATTCTTATCTGTCGATTGGATAACTAAGTCTACATTACCAGTTTTTTGGCATTGTTCAATTTGGTGTGTGAGATAAAAGGATTGTAAGCCATAAGCGTTATTGATGATGTGTGGTATGTTAAATGTTTTTGACAACTTAGCTAATGTCTCAACATCGTCGCATGCTCTAGGTGCAAAGCAGGAAGTTGTTGAAATTATGCAAACAATATTTTCGGGTCCTAACACGTTGATTTGATTCTCAAACTCCTTCACATTCGTCTGTAGTTCATCACCAACTTTTATTGAATCAATAATAATTGGATGTAAATTTGCTGTCAATATACATTTAAAGCATGACTTTTGATCTATTCTGGACCATAATACGATATTTGCATCGGGTCTTTGAGATTTAAATGTCAATAAAGAGAGCATCATTGTCATTCCTGTTGCCATTGGAAATAATAAACATTTCTTTGCACTCCTGATTCCGACCATTTGAACAAGATCCAGTAATAACTCATTAGTTAATTTATTCATTATGCTTGATCCAGTAGCTTTTGGCTGATTTTCTGCTAAATCACCGGATCGTCCAATGCCATGTCCAAAATTAAAGTTTCTCTTTTTAACCAAATCACAGATTATACGACCTTCACGTTCACCTACTCCATATTTACTTCCGAAGTTGTTAGAGTCCATAGAAGCAAGCTCATTTACTAGCATCTCAATCTCATGATTTTCTAGTCCAGTTTCTGGAATTTTTCTCTACAATTACATTAATGTCATTTAATAGTTTGTTTTGTAGCTGCTCGCAATGATTTACCTTCTCAAGTATTTGTTTGATCTTGTTCTCACGTTGCTTTCTGGCATCAATCGCGATGTTCTAACAAAGATCCAGAAAAATAAATTATGGAATCACTAGAAATTACAATTTTCTATGTTAATCTTACGAGATAATTTGCTGAAACAAATTTTGAACATAAATCCTTCAAGTTATCATCAGAAATCATCCTTAAATTTGTGCTTTGTCTCCTTAAATACAATATTTTAATATTTAAAATGAAGTTTATTTAAAGTTGCAACTATGGTGCAAAATTTAAAAAAAAAGGTCATTGGAAATTTTTATGCCTTCAAACTTATGCTGAGCGATACTCAACTGACTCGCTAGCTTTATACCCTCAAACTTATGCTGAGCAAATCTTGGTCTATCCATAAGACTTTTGATGGTACGGTGTGAATATATCCGCATTGAGTTTCTACCCGATACACTAGTACTGAATATGCCTTAAGTTAAGATCTATAATCTAGCATTTAAAAGATGAAGTTTAATTAATATGTTATTTTTGAATTTTTGAACATTTTTTCCGAATCTGAATCATTGCAAATCATTGTGCTGAGATCGCAATTCGAAAAAGTTCAAAAAATTGTGAATGATCCTTTTTTTAAATTTTGCCCCATAGCTAGTTGATGATCATTAAAATCAGAAAGTTACAAATGTTTTGGGAACCGTTGAAAAGTTTTAAGGATTCTTTTCAAACTTGTTAAATTCAAATTTAACATTTTCTGTAAAATGGCTTGATGAAAAACATAATTTTTCTATTACTACCCGATTCGGATTTCATTCCAGCCATTCAAGTAGTTGCTTTTAGTTTTCGATGATTATGATCAAGAAAGATTTGGTATCTTGGTATTTTGGATTAAAATAAATTTTATTTTGAGAACAAAATTTAAGGGGCTAGACAATTGCACCGAAAAATAATAAGTCCACAACACTAGAGGATAATAAACCCGAAAAATGAAAAATCACGGAGAGACAATAGGGCCACTTATAAAATTTTAATTTTTCAAGTGGTCTTAATATTTTCAACGCAAGACCATAAGTCCTCTTAGACAAAATTAAAATTTAAGGTGAAATAATTATTTTCACGTGCGGGTAAAAAAATCACTTTCATTTGAGTGTGGGATTTTTGTCTTCATTTGAAGTTAATAAATCCGCAACATTTTTAGGATTTGTCTTTAATACCTCACTATGAGGCAATAAGATCACTTGAAATCGTAAGTGGATTTATTACCTCACAGTGAGATATTTGATCCACCTATATTTCTTAGTAGACTTATTGTCCTTTTGTGCAAAACATTACAACAAAATATTGATCAGGTTAAAAAAAGTTGTAACATATTTAATTGCTTTTCATAAAATTGTCAAATTTAAACTTTATTTTTCATGTGGGTTAATTTACTATCTACTAGAATTTTTTTTGAAAATATAAGTATCAATTTGATCAAGTTCTTCAAACAAAAAGGTATTTAAGATTTCACAATTTTTGAACTGAATTGTGTAATTTTCAACAATTTTACAATATTGTATTCAAAACTTAATCTTATAAACTAGATTAAAAAAATGCCAATGTAGGACAAATCTATTCCACGAATTTGAACTTTATTTCATGTGTTTTAGTTTTATAAATGGTTTTAAAATTACCAGACATCTAATAAAGCAATTTTGACAAACTCAAAGTGCGAGGAATTGAATTTTTTTGAAAGAATAACGGAAAAAATTTCGTTGTCTTGTACTATGGGTCCTAGATTCGAGTAGATTTGAAAAGTATTTTTCTGGAACAAACCACCTACTCAAATCAAGGACCCCAGTATTGAAAAATATGTTTTTTTTCTGTCTGAAGCTGTGTAATACAAAATTGTAATATCTTTGTTTATTCAAACAATTCAAATCAAAGTATGAGTTTTAAATTAAAATTGAGACTTTTTAAGATTGTCAGTTAAAATCAAAGTGAGGAAACTCAAAATCTACGATTAAACAAAATCTTTTATTAAAGAATTCGAAATTTTATAAAAAAATCAAAATTTTTATTCAGATTTCAAAAGATTTTCATAGAGGCAATGTCATTTTACTTAAATTACTTTATTTTTCAAAATACTATTGCCATTTTCTGAAAAATAAGAGAAAAAGGATTCTAACAAGCTCAAAAGATAGCAAAAAATCAATAATTAATGATCATTACAATTTTTGAGTTTGACTACATTCAAAATTTGGGATTCTTTAAATTTCCATGTGATTTTAATTAAAATGCTCATGCTGTTAGAATCTTAAACGTTGCTTTTAAAGCGATAAATACATTAAATTAGTGATAATATTTTTTTCATCAAAATTATCTATTATAATATCTCCGAACATGTTTATATTGTTCAACAATTTAATGTCAAAGAATTGAATTTTGACATTGCCACTCTCTGGATTTTCATTATAAAATTTTATTTTTGTTTCACGAGTTGAACGGTTTTATTTTATATTCACACCGTTTTCACGTGTGAATCTGTTGGTTATGTTCATATTAAAAAATCAGTTTTTCGCGTTTTGTGAGAAAACGAAGCGAAATTGGTTATAAAATGTCGCAAAAGAAAAGTTTGTGTCTAAAATTTTACATCATTTGCAAAAAAACAGATTTCAAATTGGTTAAGGCATTGCCACTATGGGCCAGAAATGGAAAATTTTTCCAAAAATTATTTCTACAACTTATATGATAGTCCTTATTCTGTCCTACATTTACGTCCTTAAAACTTTGCCTAAGTCGACAGCATGTCCGAGATATGGCACTTCAAAGTTGGTCAGACGACCATTTTCACGTTACATTGAAAATGCTCTCACCAGTCACTGGATGGATGAATCTCCTTCAATTTTTTTTTGGTAATAGCTTTAAATAGTTCCTTCATTTTAAGGTATAAACAATTGCAAAAAACTTTGGAAAATTTTGTGAAAAACTTGATTTTTCTCAAAAACCACGTGTTCGTCATACTTCCGTTTGTGTAGGTCTTCACAAGCACAACCAAAGTTACTAATTTCTTTTTTATATTAAAGATTACATCAAAAGCTATAACTTTTGCATACATGTCGTATAATTTTAACAAAGTTTTGGTAGTGAAAAAAATTTTTTTTATAAAAAAAACACCAATTTTTTGACAAAAATCGCTGTAGTGCTCCAGGGATACCCATGGTAGTGGAATTTTATTTCACATTTAGAAAGCTCTCTGGATATGCTATCAATTAATGCAGTAAAATGAACAAGTGTTCTCTTGGCAAAGAGCACTTTTTTGACTCTGAAAGTCGTATGTCGAGCAAGGTCAAAAAAGAAAAATAATCATAAAAATTTCAGTTTTAAGTAAAATTTAATTTTTTTAAGTTAGATTGATAGATCTTTTTAAAACGCGTCTTTTGAGTGTAAATATGTCATAGTTTTGTCAAGTTTCATGATCAGTTTTTTAAAAAAATAGTTTTTTTCAAAAAAAAACTTGAAAAATAAAGTATTTGACTTTAGAATTTCATAAAATGCATTCTTTTTAACATTTTTTTCACTATTTTGTCTAGTTTTGCTCCTCGTTTTTTCCTAAACATAAATCAATAAGAACTTAACATAATTGAAGCCATTTGGAGGTTAAATTGAGTTAAAAATCGTTTAAAATTTTTGTATTTCTTAAATAGTTCTTTACACAAGTATCTAAGATATAAAGTGTTGCATAGTTTTGAAAAGGTATTAAAATTTCCAATATGTTAACATGAAAATTTTAGGAAAATTTTCAAGTAATATAGTCAATTTGGGTAAAAAACGCATTTTATATATGCTAGTTTTTAATGTTTTTCGTTTTTCTCAGCAAAGACTTTATGAAAAACTCTCAAAGTTTGCACACTTATTTGTTATATAAATGTTAATGACTCGTATAAGTTTTGGAATTTTCTATTGAGTTTTTCATGAGTTCTCCAAATCTGAAATTTTCAATATTAAAAATCCTTTTTTCTCAATAATTCCGATTTTTTATTTATAAATAAATATCTTATTTTGTTTCATTTTACAATATCTTTTCATTGATATGTAACAATCTACGAAAAAAATAAGACTAGCGAGGAATCAATAAAAAAAGTGTCAAAAATTTATGAAAATTCTACGCTATTTTAATTTTTTAGCATTTTCTGGTTAATTTTATTAAGTTTTGTAAGAGTATTATACCTTTTTGCAAATTTATAGCTCAAGACTTTCATCTGCTTTCATCCATTAAAATTCGTATGAGTTTACGATAAGCACAACTGAAGTTAAATAAGCTTCACGTTGGCGCAACCAAAAATTTTGAATTTTTTAAAATCAAATTATTTAAAAGCTTTAAATTAAATCTTCAGGCTGCTATTAAATACATGAAACATTTATAACAAAACTAAATGAAAAAGTTTAATATTATAGCTCAAATAGCATTAAAATTAATATCTGGTTTTCTTCATATGGAACTGTCTTTTGTCGCCAACGTGAAGCTTATTTAACTTCAGTTGTGCTTATCGTAAACTCATACGAATTTTAGTGGATGAAAGCAGATGAAAGTCTTAAGCTATAAATTTGCAAAAAGGTATAATACTCTTACAAAACTTAATAAAATTAACCAGAAAAGGATAAAAAATTAAAATAGCGTAGAATTTTCATAAATTTTTGACACTTTTTTTATTGATTCCTCGCTAGTCTTATTTTTTTCGTAGATTGTTACATATCAATGAAAAGATATTGTAAAATGAAACAAAATAAGATATTTATTTATAAATAAAAAATCGGAATTATTGAGAAAAAAGGATTTTTAATATTGAAAATTTCAGATTTGGAGAACTCATGAAAAACTCAATAGAAAATTCCAAAACTTATACGAGTCATTAACATTTATATAACAAATAAGTGTGCAAACTTTGAGAGTTTTTCATAAAGTCTTTGCTGAGAAAAACGAAAAACATTAAAAACTAGCATATATAAAATGCGTTTTTTACCCAAATTGACTATATTACTTGAAAATTTTCCTAAAATTTTCATGTTAACATATTGGAAATTTTAATACCTTTTCAAAACTATGCAACACTTTATATCTTAGATACTTGTGTAAAGAACTATTTAAGAAATACAAAAATTTTAAACGATTTTTAACTCAATTTAACCTCCAAATGGCTTCAATTATGTTAAGTTCTTATTGATTTATGTTTAGGAAAAAACGAGGAGCAAAACTAGACAAAATAGTGAAAAAAATGTTAAAAAGAATGCATTTTATGAAATTCTAAAGTCAAATACTTTATTTTTCAAGTTTTTTTTTGAAAAAAACTATTTTTTTAAAAAACTGATCATGAAACTTGACAAAACTATGACATATTTACACTCAAAAGACGCGTTTTAAAAAGATCTATCAATCTAACTTAAAAAAATTAAATTTTACTTAAAACTGAAATTTTTATGATTATTTTTCTTTTTTGACCTTGCTCGACATACGACTTTCAGAGTCAAAAAAGTGCTCTTTGCCAAGAGAACACTTGTTCATTTTACTGCATTAATTGATAGCATATCCAGAGAGCTTTCTAAATGTGAAATAAAATTCCACTACCATGGGTATCCCTGGAGCACTACAGCGATTTTTGTCAAAAAATTGGTGTTTTTTTTATAAAAAAAATTTTTTTCACTACCAAAACTTTGTTAAAATTATACGACATGTATGCAAAAGTTATAGCTTTTGATGTAATCTTTAATATAAAAAAGAAATTAGTAACTTTGGTTGTGCTTGTGAAGACCTACACAAACGGAAGTATGACGAACACGTGGTTTTTGAGAAAAATCAAGTTTTTCACAAAATTTTCCAAAGTTTTTTGCAATTGTTTATACCTTAAAATGAAGGAACTATTTAAAGCTATTACCAAAAAAAAAATTGAAGGAGATTCATCCATCCAGTGACTGGTGAGAGCATTTTCAATGTAACGTGAAAATGGTCGTCTGACCAACTTTGAAGTGCCATATCTCGGACACGCTGTCGACTTGGGCAAAGTTTTAAGAACGTAAATGTAGGGCAGAATAAGGACTATCATATAAGCTGTAGAAATAATTTTTGGAAAAATTTTCCATTTCTGGCCCATAGTGCATTGCTAAGAAAATCGCAAAATACGCTTTCTGTAAGCAAGCAAACAAGCAAACAAGCATGCAAGTTAATCAGCAAGAAATCTCAATAACGAGACATCGTAGAGACTTCTAGATTTTTACATTTAATTCGTGCTGCCTTATAAAAGAGCTGT